GGTTTGTGCCCTTCTTCCAAGAGAATCTTGTGCATACAGAAGGCTGGGCTAATACCCTTTAAGACTCCATGATCTAGCCAATGTCAGTCTTGCTTTCTTGCAGTACCTGTAAGAGCTGTTCTACCTGCACATCTAACAAACCGAATGATATAATAATAGCAACGTAGAATCAGGTCCTAAGAAAACGTACCTGAGGTGAGCTGGGAGTGGATTCAGCTCCAACTTGGGTGGTTCCTGTACCGATGGTTTTTGCTGGAGGTGTAGCCCTTTATTATAACTCAAGGGACTCGAACTGAGGTTCCTTTTTCCAAAATCCTTGGCCTTCAAGTGCCAGGACCCACTCGGCCAACCTTTCACCATCCATTTCTTCTAAGTTTATCATACATGCCTTCAATGGATCTTTAGCAGTCAGGGCCACATCATCTTCTTGGAGGATCACATCCACTGCCTCCACTAGAGAGCAATTCGCATATTCACTAGGTCTCCTCATAGATTGCTGAACATTGAATATGACTTCTTCATCATTCAGTCTCACAATCGATCAGGGCTCTCCCAGTGGCCAAAAATGGCCTACCTAAAATGATAGGTATCTCCTCATCTACCTGACAATCCAGAATAACAAAGTCTACAGGGAACACGAATTTCCCTACTTGCACCAATACATCATCAAGAATCCCTGTAGGTCTTTTTACCGTGCGGTCACCTAGCTGCAGCAGCATCGAAGTTGGTCTAGCTCTGCCAATGCCCAGTTTGGTGTGTACAGCCAGAGGCATCAAATTTATGCTGGCTCGCAAATCACATAATGACTTTGCAAAGGCGTAACTCCCAATCGTGCACGGAATAGTGAAACTACCTGGGTCGGACATCTTTTGAGCCATTAGTCTGGTCACTACCGCGCTGCAGGTCTGCGTCAGCGTTACTGTGGATAGATCCTGAAAATAAAACTTCCGTGACATTAGGTCTTTCATCATCTTTGCATAACCTGGCATCTCTATCAAGGAATCCATCAAAGGAATATTCAACTGAATTTGATGCAGCATCTCCATGAATTTCTTGTATTGATCTTCCTTCTTTTGTTTTACCAGTCTCTGAGGGAATGGTGCAGGTATCACCCTTTGTGCACTGCTTGCTGGCTTCTCTCTGTTGGGGTTCTGTGGCACAGGAGGCATCACCTGTTCTGTAGCTTGTTCATTAACCTTAGCCTTACCCTTTTCATCTTGGCCCTGTTCAACTACCACTTCAGTCAGATTTGTTGGTTCATCTACCTCTAGTGGAATTGGCTTGGCTGGCATAGTCTCCTTGCTAGCTTGTGCAACCTCCTGCTCTTTATCTAAATCTCTCCCATTGCGAAGACTTACTGCCATTAGCTGATTTGAGTTTTTCTCCTTGGGGTTAATATTTGTATCTGCTGGCAATGTTCCCTTGGGGCGATTGTTTAAAGCCATAGACAACTGCCCCAACTGAGTTTCGATGTTCTTTATAGCTGAATCATGTACTGCCAACTTTTATTGCATCTTACCGTTTGTCCCAATGAGTTGCTGGAGCATCGCNGAGCCAAAATTTGATAATGCCCAACTATGCCTTTTAAAAGACAAAGCGGTCGCTGCAAATATAATCCGGTTTTAAGTCCGGAATCGAATCCTCAGGGAACTAACTTATCTATTACACTTTTCAGCAATGTTATTATCAACTCAATCAATTTCTAGATGCAAGATTTTTGATCAATAAAGACTGGGTTCTTTTGTTTAACTACTTAAAAATAACAATAAGCTGAAACAAAGATAATTCAATGGTAAAAAGGTATAGGGCAGTGATTTCCCCAATTGCTAGTTTAGGTCTTGACTCTTCCGCTATAATCTCGCCGTAATACTCTATGAGGATTAAGAGTTATGGGCTATCATAATTATCTCTCGATCAACTACAATAATTTACTAGAGCATTCTCTCGAACTACTCTAGCTGACTATGATTATGCAACTCTAAATTATCCCAGCAAAGTTTTGTTATCTCTAAACCCACTTTTAAGTTCAAGTAATGAATCTCTTCAATTACCCAAAAGTGGTATTGTTCAACAGCTATCTAACCTAATATTCTTTCTCAAGTAATATAAGGTAATTAGACACGATTAATTAAGGGCCCATTCAATTAATCACCATACAAAACATAGTTGAACAATCATATCGTAAATCCGGCTCGATTATAACAACTTGAGTCAAGACTTCAACCAACAATTGGTTCCATAAACCCTAGATAAATATTTAGCTACTCATAACAAAAGAAGAGAGAACTACTAAATTATTCATAATATAAAATTGCAGAATTAAAAAGAAATAGAAAAACTCTAATGTTTGGTTAAACTTCTCACACTTGTTCTTCCTCCAAAAATAGTCTAAAATTAGCTTCACCCCTCAGTTGGGTGAGTTTCTAAATCTTATAAGGGTTTTACAAAAGTTTCCCCAAAATTACACTTTGTTCCACAACTTCCAGTGGAGTGAACAGTTCACCGCGGTCGCGGCCAACCGCGGTCGACCGTAGTGACCGCTGAGCTTTCTATCTCCCTTCATTAATCTACCGCGTTTCGCCTCGGTGCCACCGCANTGCCATCGCGGTCGGGGTGGCCTTCTTGCCTAGACTATTTATGCTTCTTTGTGTTCGGGTACTTCTCGAGTGGGCATTTTTCTTCACATTATCGCCCCAAAACACTCCATGTTGCTTCCTCTCATATAATATTCCTTGCTAAAGAAAAGAACACTATTTAGAGCATTTTGTTGGCAATTTATCTATAAAGCAACAACAAAGTATGGTCATATTAAGGTGTAAATATCAACTATATAGCCTACTATCACTGCCCACCAATTCCTTCCATTAGGGTCTTAGTTACCATAGCCAGTCTGGTATGGATTCTTGCCTTCTTCATCGGAAACACGATTAGCCCCAGGAAACAAAACATGAAGAGGAAAAACCTTCGATGGATGTGACCCAAGGATGTGATGGAAAACTCATCAGGGTAGGTACGATAGGATTTACTGTGACCGTACCTTTCATACAAATAGTCAAAAGGGATGTAGGATTCCCTCAGACATGTCAATTCTGGATTCTTCTTCAAACCCATCATTTTGAGGAAACCCTTGCCTTTGCGGTTCTCAGGAATTAACAAACCCGCAGTTTCCCACACTAGACCGGTCAATCCTCCTATCTCCTATAGCAAGGGTATCATTTCGATGTCCCCAAAATAGAACACAACCCTTTCACAATCCCAAAACAGTGTGTCGGCTT